ATGGAGAGCGAAGGCGAGGTGCTGGCTAAGGGACAGGTCCGGTGTACGTCCCCCTCTCCGCGGGACATCCCGTCTCTCACACAGGGGCACGGTAAGGCCGGCTGGAATCGGCAGGAGCGTACAGCTGGAACAGCTGGATATTCTCATTGATAAAATTTAGACGATGAGAATTTGTTTGACAAGACGCATTACGATGTCTCGATGGGCCACATTTATCAAATCAGCACTACAGTGATACCCCGCAAAGTGTTGATCCTTTATTCATTAATTCACAAATGTGTTGCAGCTGTATGTAAACCAAGGCTTCTGTTGCCAGATGCTTCTCAAATGTGTCTCTCTGACAAAGCAGCAGATGACATGAACTCAGGGAACTGCTTCACACCTCTTTGGGAACACAGTGGTCTGACCTTCATTTTTATCATCTCAAGCACTATGTATGGATCACACCCAACTACATTAAAAAATATGCAGAGTACAGATGTGTACACAGTTATTTATAGCATAGGCCTTTAATATTGCATGAAATATTTTGCAACAGGAAATGTTAATTAATGAAAAACTTCTATTTGGTGCACTGTTGCAGTGTTTAAGTGAAGAATGTGCTAGAACCGTCTGATGGTCCTCATGGGGGAAAATTGATCCGTTATCTGTCGATTCACTGTACAGGGCACTCTTCCCCATCGTGCGCTGGGATCTGCCTGTCCAGGTTGCAGCTGAGTTTAACTGCACCTCAGCGCACGATCAGCAATGTACCCTCTTGGCCTCAGGTCCTCTGACCAGGGCTCGCTCACTCCTGCCTCTTGTCCACAGGAGACAAGCGCGTGGTCAGGCTGGCACTCCGCTCCAAGGAGACGGGCCAGAAGTTCGTCAGCACGGACTTCGTCTTCTACAACTGCAGCGTCCTCGAGTCGTAAGTGTCCCCCGCCCCTTGCAGTCCTCTTGCTTCCTGTCCTGTTGCAGCTCGGAAGTTGGGATATTAGTCAGATGAGTAGAGGTCGAATTCAGGGACATTATGATAAAATTGTACAGTGAACTAGTAAGACTTTAGGTCGAATGTTGTGTATGACTGTGGTCTCCAGGTTACAGAAAAAAGCATTGCTCCTCCAGAAACAGTCCGGAGGAGAGCAGCCAGATATGTTCCAGGGCTACAGGGATTGTCCTACGCTGACAGGCTGAACGAACTGCAATTCTGAGCAGAGAAGACTAAGAGGGGTCCTGACTCGCAAAAAGAGGACTAAGAAAATGATTTTTGTGGAAGTGCATTTAAAACTGAGCACAGGAGACATTCTGCACACAGGGCTGTGGTAGCTTGTTCCATACTCCTGTTCTACTGTTGAAAGAACATGTCATGTTCTTTCAAGAAACAGCTGGATGGAGCCAGTGCAGAGAGGGGAATTATTAGGAGGCCATGACTGGCAAAGGCCAGGGGGGGATCTGGCCTGGACACACCGGAGTGACCCCCCTACTCTCTTCAAGAAACGCCCGGGGATTTTTAATAACCACAGAGAGTCAGAACCTCGATTTCACATCTCTCCCGAAGGACGGCACTTTTGTATAGAAGCGCAGAGATGAGCAGCCCTGTTTCCGTCCTGGCCAGCGTGCAGTGCTGACGACTCCATGCCCTCTGGGTGCTGAAAGCAGCTCTGGTTTGAATGTCTTAAAGTTACAGTTTTTAGCTGGAACTGTGGGCTGCTTGATTATGCAACACGTAAGGCTCCAACTCGCTTTTAAATCAGTAGCAGGCTTCTTATTTTCCACTGTGGGTAAACTGTGGGCAAGGTGCCCACTCCGCTGAGAGCCGCTCACATGGGAAGTTTGCCCACAGCGCAGAAGCACGCTTTTTACTTACTGCTTGGGGCGGACCAGTGAAAATAGCACAGCAACAGTGAGAAGGTCCACTGCACTGCCCTCCTCCCCACTCCAGCCCACTCTGTGCCCTGTTGACCCCTGCTGGCCCCTGGAAGTGGAGTTTAAGGATCCCACAGCAGGCGAAACTCGGAGACCAGCAGCCCTGCTTCTGTTCCGGCCAGGGCAGTGCCAATGTCCCGTCTGGCCGGACGGGCAGTCGTGATTTCAAGAATCCTGGGAAGAGACGAGGAGCCGCAGACTGGGGAGGAGCTGATCGTGACGGCAGGACATGTGTGGTCAGCACACCCCGGCTGTGTGATGAGGAGGGCTCTGGGGTTCAAGCGCTGTGGCTCACAGGCCTGAGTAGAGGACGACGCCCCCAAACCTGCATGCAGCGCTAATCCCGATTGAGCGCCCACCTGCCCGCGGGGCTGTTCTTGCTCAGATTAGCAGGAGAAAAGTTTATTTTCATTCTTGCTCTTCGCTTGATGAGAATACAGCCTGTACAGTTGTCAGGGGCAGCTGCACAGCGCTTAAAATTAAGCCAAAGGGGTGTCTTGCTGGTCTTACGGCGTATTGTTATAGCAGCGACTTGCATGCGGGGGACCAAGTTAGGTTTTTGCACTAGCCTGAGCAGATCGGAAGTAAAAACTGCCTGAAGCCGTTTCTTTGTGTTGCATCTTCTGGTGGCTGGACGGCAGCTCTCAGAGGGTGCAGTGTGCTCTTCCACGCTCCTGTGTGGGAAGTGAATGGTCATCGCGCCAGGGCACAGAATAGCTGTGCGTGAGTTATAGGCGAGTGGGCTGCTCTACATCTACGTGTGGGTCAGCTGGCTGGCTGCTGAGAACCTCGTTTATATCATGTTTATTGAGAGAGACAGGCTTGCAGGCAAGTGCTGGGCACTCCTGAGCTGAAGCAGAAAGGCCTTCCGATGGCGTGTGTCAGGACCAGTCAGCTGAAGGAATGAGTCACGGGGCTGATTAAATCGGCACCCACAATGCTCAGCGACACGTTGCGTGATTTGCACGAAGCGCTGTTGTGTAAAAGGCACAATCGCTTGCAAGCAGCTGCTGGACGGCCTGTGTGAAGGTTGTGTGGAAATGTGTGGCCTGGTTTCCCTGCAGCCTTTTCCCTTCCTGCTCCTGTGAAGTAGTGCCCCCCAGGGTGCAGTGCATCATGGCCATGTGGAACCG